TATAAATAGATGGTAATCACACCAGCTTCACATTCCTGTTTGCTGCTGCTGCCAAAAAGCAGGTTCTGACAGGAAAGGAAATAATTTGCACTTACTGAGTACTGCTAAATGCCAGACTTTGGGCTAGTTACTTATCCTTACTTAATTTTCATACCACCACCGTGAGGTACATGTTAGGTAACTTGCCAGGGTCGCCTAGCTGGTCTGCAACCGATCCAAGACTTGAGTCAGGTGGCTTGGACTTCGACATTTCATGTTCTTGCCCACCCAGGCTGCAGCAGTGATTACTCCTGTCTTGCTCCAGCACGCTGGTGACACAGCATGAGGATGAAGATTAGACTTCATGGCAAGAAAAGAAAACCTGGATTTATTATAATGAAGACATAAATGTTTGGCCAATATGCTCACCTATTCATATTTTAACCTACTGCATACCCCATGGTATACCACAAAGTGAAATCAAAGGTGTGGGCTAGCCAGCAAGGAGGAGTATCTGAGAAGAGAATGAAGTATCTTGACTTTATCTGGCTGATGTCTCAACATCTAAGCAGCCTGGTATACCACTGAATATCACATGGCATGGGGGTGGAGGGAGGCAAGCAGAATCATCTGGAATGCTCTTCTTTTCTTTTCCTTTTTATTACAGAAAATTTCAAACATATATACCGTATTTTTATGCAAATAATGCATGCCTTCTGCGTTTGTTTGCTGGCCACTTCCTCCCCACTTCGAGGCACCATCAAAAGTGCAGCCATGCCAATCCTCTTCCACATGTTGCTGTAAAGAAAAACAAAAAATAGCACAGCTTGCTTACAAAAATACCTGGGGTGGGGGGTGTGGGGGAGAATGGCGGGCCAGCAAACAAACACAAAAGGTGCACGTTATTTGCGTAAAAATATGGTACCTGTAGAGCAAATGGTATAAAGGAATCCCATGTTCCATGACCCAGCTTCAAAAATTATGCACTCATACCAATCTGGTTTCATTCATATCCCTACCCCACTCCTCCATCCTACCTTCATAGTATTTTGAAGCAAATGGGATGCTCTTTCAAATTGTTGACGCCTTCTGTTGCTTTTATAACAACCAAATGTACTAATCAACACAATGGCAAAATATTATGCATTCTTGGAAAAACTGTCTGCCTGTACTATACCTATACAGATTCATGTGCTTCATATTTTGCTTCCTGTGTACAGATATGCCCACATGTGTGTGAGCCATGATAGGTCAGGAAGAATCCTTTCAGACATCGCTCCTTATCTTTTCTGCAGAGCCCTTTCCTGATGATTTGTGAAAATCTGGGAATTTGGGAGAAATATAAGCCAAGATAAGAGTGTCATGGATTGAATTGTGTCCCCCCAAAATATCTGTCAACTTGGCTGGGTCATGATTCCCAGTATTGTATGATTGTGTAATCTGATGTGATTTCCTTATGTGTTCTAAATGTGATCACTATGATCTAATAAGATGGATTAGTGGCAGTTATACTGATGAGGTATACAAGATTGGATAGTGTTTTAAGTCAATCTCTTTTGAGATATAAAAGACAGAAGCGAGCAGAGACACATAGGAACCTCATACCATCAAGAAAGCAGGCTGGGAGGAGAGCGTGTCCTTTGGACCTGAGGTTCCTGCACTGAGATGCTCCCAGACCAAGGGAAGACTGATGCATCACAAGGACCTTCCTCCAGAGCCGACAGAGAGAGAAAGCCTTCTCCTGGAGCTGATCCCCTGAATTTGGACTTGTAGCCTACTAGACTGTGAGAGAATAAACTTCTCTTTGTTAAAGCCATCCATTTGTGGTATTTCTGTTATAGCATGTCTTAGTCTAGATGATGAAGACAAAGGGTGAACTACAAAGGAGATTGGCTTAGTGGGGGAAAGCAGAACCCACTTATTTACTCATTTATTTTCATCATTCAAGTATTCATTCATTCCTGTACACACTGAATGTTGATGCATGGCAATCCCACTCCATTCTGTGCTCTCTTTCTTCTTCCTCAGTCTAACTCTTGTTCTTTCCTATCTTTTCCCTGAAACTTAGGAATGGTTTATACTTTATCCAGTGGTCTCTCTGCCCCGGGGGTGGTAATTTATGCAGTTGTGTTTGTGGGGCTGTATGGATCAGTTTCTTGGAAGATGATCCCAGAATTTCAACCTCAAAATGTCACCTCTGATTCTCAGTACAGATCCCTGCTTACTGTTGAAGCCTCTCTGATTCAGTCAGAGACCTGGTGCTTCTCTTCCAATATTTTCTCTGTCCTTTGTACTTTCCTCAGAGATAGATTAAGCTTCAGGTTCCCACACTGGCACAGGTCCTTCCAAGGCCTGTACCTAATTTTGTTTTTGTTCCTATTTTTCTTAAAGCGTGTCCCCAGCAATTATATAAGCTTTAGGAGCCACAAGATCTGCACCAATCCCTCATCTACCTCCCAAATAGTAATTATCATATTTTCCTGTGATTATTTATTCACGTATTTTGGACCTCCAGGCCTGGCACAGTGTCTGCCACATAGTAGGTGCTTAATAAATATGTAAAGCAAGTTTTCAGGAATTTCATCTGCAGGTCTATCTTTTTCACTGGACATTTATTATTAGTGGCAATGAGATTCAAAGTGAGGTGGACAGGACTTCCTGTCTCAACCCCAGTTTCACTTCCTTTGCTTGAGGCACAGGATGCTGCCCTTGCCTCTCTAGGATAAGTAAATTGTCCCACAGACATTTAAAATTGGCAGGGATCTTAGGGCCAACATCTATTTGAGGTCAACCCTCACAAGATGCCTTTTTTAAAAAAAACTGAAAGATAACCTTTTAGTTATTATCAAAAGCAGTACCTGTTTATTGCAGAAAAATAGAAAATACAGGCAGGGAAAGAGAAGAGAATAAACACTGTAAATCCATCACTCAGAGATATAATTCAGTGTACTTTCTTCTTATCTCTGCATACATATCAGCATCTATTTATTTTTAACACTGGAATCATACTATACACAGTACACTGTGAACATCTCTCAGTATGTAATACATTTAAATAATGAAACTTAATTTTAAAAAGCTTTTAATAATACTGGTTTGTAATCTCTGAGGAAAAGTGCTAAGTATCTTCTTCTAGTCCACACAGGGCTGACGGATTTGGACTGCCAACCTTCTGTTTAGCAACTGAGCTCTTAATCACTGTGCCACCAGGGCGCCTATTTATACCTAAAAAACGAAGGCAAACCGTTGCCCTCAAGTCGACTCCGACTCCTAGCGACCCTATAGGACAGAGTAGAACTTCCCAATAGGGTTTCCAAGGGGCAGCTGGTGAATTCGAACTACCGACCTTTTGGTTAGCAGCCGTAGCTCTTAACCACTGCGCCACCAAGGAGCCCTGGTGGTGCAGTGGTTAAAGCGCTTGGCTGCTTTAACTACTCACCAGCCGCTTTGTGGGAGAAAGATGGGGCAGTCTGTTTCTGTAAGGATTACAGCCTTGGAAACACTATGGGGCAGTTCTACTCTCTCCTAGGGGGTCGCTGTGGGTCGGAATTGACTCAACAGCAGTTGGTTTGGTTTTTAATATAAAAAAGGAGTCCCTGGGCGGCAAAACTGGTTAAGTGCTCAGCTACTAACAAAATTGTTGGTGGTTAGAATCCACCCAGCGGAGCCTCGGAAGAAAGATTGGCAAAAAGGCCTGGTGATCTACTTCTGAAAGGTCATAACCATTGAAAACCCTATGGAGTGCAGTTCTACTCTGAAATACATGGGGTCGCCTTGAGTCAGAATATTTTTTACAGCAACTCGTTTGTCTTCTTTTGGGGGGGGGTTAACATAAATAAATATGTATTACACAGTCGTAATATATTTATGTATGTAGTATGTATAAAGATCCCTGGTGGCCCAACAGTAAACACTTGGCTGCTAACAGAAATGTTGGTAATTGGAAACTACCCAGCTGCTCTGTGGGAGCAAGACCTGGCGATCAGCTATAGTAAAGATTACAGCCTAGAAAACCCTATGGGGCAGTTCTACTCTTTGACTTGGGGTCGCTATGAGTAGGAATTGTATTGACGGCACCTAATAACAACAATATATGTACACAGATATAAACTATACGAGTGTAATTATAGGTAAGCCTTTAATTTATAATGGGTTGACGCCACTTCATTGCACAACTCCAGAGGGCACCCTTCATATACAGTCTAACAGCCACTGCGGCTCAATGAGTCAATGAATATTTAAGAAAAAAAATTGAGACGGACTCAGTGGGTCTTCCAGCTAGATAATTTCATAGGGAAGCATTCTGAAGTTGAGAAAGGTTCAGTTAGGACTGTTTATTAGATAAAAATATTTATTTTCTTCCAGTGAGAAACGGGCGGGAATCCGCAAGCTATTTGAAAACTGCCGAGTTGTAAAACGCGTCTCCGCACAGTTTGCAACTACGGGACACCGTGGAAATCTCACACTAGGATTCCCGCGGGGCCTGCTGGGAGTTGTAGTGCGGTTCTCTCCTTCCGTGCGGCGAGACCGGGACCCGCGAGACTCCGTTTCCCGGCAGGCCGCGCGCCAAGGCCGCCGGCGGGACTGGAGCTGCCGCGCTGGCGAGTAGACAGCGACCCTGACAAGGTTGGTACTGGTTGTGGCAATGGCCTCGTTCGTGACGGAAGTTCTGGCACATTCGGGGAGGCTGGAGAAGGAGGATCTGGGGACTCGGATCAGCCGCCTGACCCGGCAAGTGGAGGAGATCAAGGTGAGGGCGGGGCAGTTAGTCGGCTAACTAGAAAAAGACTCCGGGTGTGTGTGTGAGTGGGCTGGAGAGAGGAAGGGGAGGGTGGCGAGGGCAGACAGCGTGTGGGTACCACCGGAGTCGGGCCTGTTGGAAAGATTCAGGTGTAAGGTCGAGTGGGGAGAATGAGGAGAGGGAGAGCTGAGGAGTGTGAGTATTGAGGACGGAGATTGGAACGAGTGGCCAAACTGCGGTTGGGGACTGCGAGGGGGAAGAGGTGTGGAAGAGGTGGTGGCTGGAGGAGTGTTGTGGAGGAATGGAGTAGGGGGAGGAGGAATACTGACGTAACCAGCAGAGCAGGGGAGGTGGGACCGGAAGGACTGAGGTGTGTAGGGATTATCTCCTGCACCCACTCCTCTTCTCTGTTTGTACTATTTGTTGAATATAATAACTCTGGGAGGATTGTGCCATCCTCCTCGTGGACATTTTTGTTATTAAAACCTGTAAATATGTTTATTAAACTCTCTTCTCCATCCCCAAGCCCTTTAGACTATGCCGAGTGTTACAAAAATGTGAATGGCACTTAGTGGACCCTGCTGCCTTGAATTAATACAAAAAAAGTTCATATAGCCACGCATAGCTTCACTTTGTACTAATATTGATACCTTGTCAAAGATGCCCACATTTTTGTTGCTTTGGTTTAAAATTATGCATACCCACATAAATCTGGATTGTAGGGAGCAAGTTTGGGACCATACCATAACGGCACAGGATTTAGCTCTAACTAACAAATCTTTTTGGTTTCCTAAATTTTAAGTATTCATGTAACGGGCATCTTTTCTTTAACATGGCTTTAGGATTTTTCACCACTTTTTTAATATGGTGGAAAGATGACGCTCCAGGCTCCTTAAATGTTCTGGACCTAATTTACCTTTTTTTCCACTAGTTTCCCTTACCAACCTGAATCTTTAGCCAATTGAGAATTACTTTCTATGCTCCAAACAGTCCCACTTTTTTTCTACCTCCCAGATTTTACTTATATGGTGCTCCTTTGCCTAGATTGCCATTTCTCCATTTTTACCTGTTGTATTTCTACCCATTTTTCAAGTTCCATCTCAAATGTAGTCTCCTGCATGAAAAAAACTCCCATTTTCCCTCAGGCAGAGACTGATGTCTTTCTCAGTTGTGCTACTGAAGAACTTTGTAACTCTTTCAGCCCTGTATTCTGGTTACTTAAGAGTATATAGTATCTTTCCTACCTAAAAGGAATTTTTTGTGGGCAAGCATAGTTTTATTCTTGTTTCTTCCAAAACACTGAATGCATAGTAAGTATTCAGTAATTTATTCATTAAATTAATCTGAATTAAAGGAGATGATGAAACTCAAATCAACTTACCCTTTTAAGAATAGGCCTTAAAATTTTGTAGGTAAGAAGATAGAAATTAATAAATTGATCGAGGGATACAGACTATGAATTTAATTTGTCCGTTTACTTTCTTTTTAATTAGGTACATGATTAACATTGATGGCTACAATCTGAGCTGACGTAGTTAAATATGAGAACTTCTGGCTCCAGTGCTGTGTTTTTTTTTAGTATTTGTATAACTCTTGGTCACTGTTGGGGCTTGACAATTATGTCTTCTTGCACCCTCATAATATATTATGGGACCCTTAAGCGTGGGAGAAATGTGTTTTTCAAAGAAGCCCAGTGACTGGGAGGGAAAAGTAAATGGGTACGAGTAACTGGCAAAAAGGCTCCAAAATGAAAGATGCCATATTATGGAGGACAAGCTAGCTATTTTTAACAGGGCTCCCTACTCATCTCATTTTCTGTCTTATATTTTAGGGTGAAGTGTGCAGTATGATCAGCAAGAAGTACAGTGAATTCCTGCCTAGTATGCAAAGTGCACAGGACCTGGTTACCCAGGTGGATAAGCTGTCTGATGACATTGACCAGCTGAAATCCAGGATAGAGAGCGAGGTAAGAGTAGTTTGTTATATTGGGTAGGTTTATAGGGAGGCAGTTCAGCTTCCTGACTCCTTAGACAACTCAGTTCTGTTTAACTTTTCAAGACTCACTTTCCTTATTGGTAAATGTAAGAGGTTGGACTAAGTGACTTTAGGGTGACTTCCAACTTTAAAATAGAAATATTTCCCAAACTACAGTTTAAACAGCTTTTTTTTTTTTTTTTAATATTTTATTGTACTTCAGGTGAAGGCTTACAGAACAGATAGTTTCTCATGTAACAGTAACACACATGCTGTTTTATGACATTGGTTAACAACCCCACAACATTTTAACTCTCTAAATTCTCAACTTTTTTTTTTTTTTTTGGTGAAAATACACATAGCCAAAGATACGCCATTTCAAACATTTTTTTTACATACACATTTAAGTGACATTGACTACGCTCTTCTAATTGTGCTGTTATTCTCACTTAAGATGAAGGCTTACAGGACAAAATAGTCTCCCATTTAACAGATACTACAAATGTTGCCCTATAACAATGGTTAACAATCTCACAACACATCAACAATATCCTTACTCTACTTTGTGTTCCCTATCATCAGCTTCCTACTCCCCTTCTGCCTTCTGGGCCTTGTCACTGGACTCCTGTACCTCGTTACTCTCATGGTTTTACTGGGCTGTCCACTTGCAGGCTGAACAGTGAACCTCGAAGGTAACTTCACCACTGAGCTAAAAGGGTGTCTGGGGGCCATACTCTCGGGGTTTCTCCAGTCTCCTTTAGGCCAGTAAATCTGGTCTTTTTTTGTGAATTAGAATTATGCTCCACATCCTTCTCCAGCTCTGTCCAGAACCCTCTATTGTGATCCTGGTCAGAGCAGTCAGTAAACAGCTTTTTTAATGGTAGAATTTCTTTTAGCTATAATAATAATAATGTCTTGTATTTGATTAGCACTTTATAAATTTTTAAAAAATAATCTCAGGATTATATTATTTTCATAACAAAAACAGTGGAAGCTTAGAATTAGATCATTTGGCCTTTTATCTCCTCAGAGTGTGAAATGCCTGCATCTCTTAATAGCCACCATTTTCTTATATCTGCCTGTGGCCTTGACACATTCAAGCCTCAGCCCAGTCTTCTTTTTTCTTCTTTGACTGTCTTCTGGAAAACTGGCTTGGGTGGCCCACCACAAGCACTCCACTTCCTGTCATCAAGCCAGTTTCCCTAGGCAAACCGAGACTCATTGCCCTTCTTGTACCGTATCACTTTGTGTGGATAGTGCTTGCTTTACTTTTTATGGAAAGTCTAGCAGGTTTTAAAACTGTTTAGCATGTTTGCAGAAGCACTATCATCACAAAAATAAGGAAGCCAGTCTGGAAGTAGAAATATCCATTTTATAGTTTTAAAAACATTTTCACATATATTATCTCACTAGGATTTTTCTCCTTTAGTTTTCTTTTAGGAAGAAGAGGCAGTTGAAAGACTGCAAGCCGATATCAGAGGTTTAAACAAATTCCAATCTTAGGTGTCCTTTACGTCTATTTCTGTATTATTACTCAGGACTCATTGATATCCAAAATGATGATGTTGAGGTATTCTCAAGGTCCTTCCTACCAAGAAAAGGCATCAAGTCTGTTCTCTATGTGAGTTATTAAAGAAGGAAAATGCACAGATGTGTTTTTCAAAAGTTTTCTGTAAAACTTGAATCACAAGTAAGGAAACTACTAGTTACCTAGAAAATTCATTTGACAACCCGTTCACCAGTCACCCTGATTAGAGATTTTAATAAAAATCAACCTATTACTCTCCGGAACCCTGGTGGCATAGTGGTTAAGAGCTTGGCTGTTAACCAAAAGATTGGCAGTTCGAATCCACCAGGTGCTCCTTGGAAGCCTTATGGGGCAGTTCTGTTCTGTCCTGTAGGGTCGCTATGAGTCGGAATCAACTTGACAGCAGTGGGTTTGGTTTTTGGAGCCCTGCTGGTGCAGTGGTTAAGAGCTTGACTACTAACCAAAAGGTCAGCAGTTCAAATCCACCAGCTGCTCCTTGGAAACCTTATGGGACAGTTCTGCTCTGTCCTGTAGGGTCATTATGAGTTGCAATCAACTTGATGGCAACGGGTTTGGTGTTTTTTTTTTTTTTTAATTACTCTATAACCCTCGCACAGTTCAAGTAATATTCCCAGAGTGTATTTGTACTTAGCTGATTGTTTGGTCAATGAGTCAACAATGCAATCTTAGACTGTAGTATTAGAAATGAAGTATCTGAAAGAAGAAAAGTAATGAGCTCCCTGTAGCTTATGCTGGCCGGGTGATAGCTGGTGAAATTTATTCAGTTCTGGTTGTTGTGTTTTGAGAGACGGCTGGTCCAGATGAGAAAATCCAGGCCTGACCATTGTACCATCTGAAGAACAGTGAAAGAAACTGACGGTCTTTAGCCTTGAAAATTAACATCTTCAAGATTTGAAGACCTGTCATATGGGTGAAAGATTTCATATTTATGGCTCAAGAGAAATTAATTTTAATAGGTGGATGTTATAAGGAGGTTTAATTAGACATTTGGTATATTTTTTGAGCACTTCCAAAGGCTATATACTGTGGTAGTTGCTGAATAGGACACGTATTTTTATTTCAAAGTGTGACTCTCATGACTGATGTAGATGAGTAAAATAGAGTGATACAACACTAAATAAGAGTAATCCAGTTGGAGAGAGGAGATGTAGCTAAGGATGGCTTCCTGTAGGAAATAATATCCAAACCAAGACCTGAAATAATTGGTAATTAGGTAAAAGGGAAAGGTAAGTGTTTTAGGGGACAGTGTTGCAGAGGCATGGAGGTAATTGAGGGATGTCACTTTCAGGGATCTGCAAGTATTCCATGTGGGACACGATGGGAAGTGGGTTCTGATTCAACACAAAAAATAACTTTCTAATAGAACTATCCAACAGTAGAATGAATTATCAGTTGGCAATGGGGATATCCTTCTAGTAATCCAGGTGGATGAGCTCGCTAATAAAAGATAACTACTTACATTTAGAATGGATAGTGACACAGGGACAGTATATTGGTGGGTATGTGTATTCCTGCATAGGATAAGGTTTTGGACTAGGTAGACCTCTCAGGTCTCTTCCTACTGCATTCTTTGATTTTTATTTCTCAGCCAGCATTTGAATTTCAGTCTGTATTATATTGAGTTAATAATATTCATTGATCAGCTGAAAATGTTTTATTTTATAGGTATGGTATAGTTTAAAAGTACTTGTTTTTGATATGTGAATTAGGTCCGCCGAGATCTTCATGTATCAACTGCTGAATTTACAGAATTGAAGCAACAGTTGGAAAGAGACTCAGTAGTTCTAAGTTTGCTTAAACAGCTACAAGAGGTCAGTAAACTCAACTCAAACTTTAGTGTTTTGGTTACGAGGAAGTTATTTTTTCAGTTGGTGCCATTATTCAGTGGGTATCCCCTGACTATATGGTGTTTTCTTCATATTTTAAATACAAACAAACAGAAAGACAGACTTGAAATAATAGGATGTGTAAAGTAAAATACCTAACAACTTATACTTAACTTTTCAGTTTTCTACTGCTATCGAAGAATATAATTGTGCATTAGCAGAGAAGAAGTATGTCACTGCTGCTCAGCGTCTGGAAGAGGTACTAAACGCTTTCTCCAAAGTATGAGTAATTAGTAGTGTTCTTGTTTTTAGTAAATTTTGTGTCCCGTATATTCCTTATCATTATACAGATATGTTTGAATTGCCCTGAGTCCAGATGGAGTGTTTAACGATGGTTCCATTTCACTACCAGGCACAGAAATGTTTGAAGTTATTAAAATCCAGAAGATGCTTTGATTTGAAAATGTTGAAGTCTCTCAGCATGGAGCTCACAATACAGAAACAGAACATACTTTATCACCTTGGAGAAGAGTGGCAGAAGCTGATTGTATGGAAGTTCCCACCATCAAAAGGTGCTGCTCCCCGGACTCTCTGTTAGCCCAAAACTAAAACCATTCCTGAAGCCAACTCTTCAGACAAAGATTAGACTGGACTGTAAGATATAAAATGATACTCGTGAAGAATGTGCTTCTTAGCTCAAGTAGATACATGAGTCTAAATGGGCAGCTCCTGTCTGGAGGCGAGATGGGAAGGCAGAAAGGGACAGGAGCTGGTTGAATGGACACGGAAAAGCCGGGGTGGAAAGGAGGAGTGTGCTGTCACAGTATGGGGAGTGCAACTAGGGTCACATAGCAGTGTGTGTATAAAGTTTTGTATGAGAAACTAACTTGAACTGTAAACTTTCATTTAAAGCACAATTTGAAAAAGTGCTGCTGACCTCAGGTGGATGCTTTGCTTAATCTGCCTGAACCAGTTTGGCCTCTGAATATATTCTAAATATTGTATACTGGCAGATGAGAAGGTTTCATTCATTAATCTCCCAGGTCTGTATTGAGTTATCACATTAAGCAACATGCTTTGTTATGATCAACTCATCTGAGTCCCCAGAATGTCCTCACTGTACTTCCCTTGTGTCCCTCTTTCTGTCCCCTTTCCTAGGAAAGTGAGGAAAGATGATTGGGTGGGTGGGGTCCATGTGGTGAGGGTGTGGTAGAGGAGGTGGTAGCAGTTTAAGACCATGCTCAGTTTCTTCTGCATTGTAGGGTGTACCCGTTCCCAACAGCCCAAATCCCAATGTTTATCTTGGCTAGAAAAGTTCAAGAAGCTATTTAGCCATTCTTTCTCCTATTGAGGAAAGAAGGCAGGCACAGAAATACTTGAAGTTACTAGAATCCAGAAAATGATTTAATGTAAACATGTTGATTTTTTTTACAACCTAATTTACATGGAATCTCTGAAAGCCCAATGTCAGTGTGCCTGTGGGTAGAGGAGGGATTTGGCCTAATTTTTTTCAGTCTTTGGGGAAAAAATAGTGATAAAATCCTGGGATAAGGGGTGCATTACAAGGTGAAGAAATAAGATTACTCTGGCCTTGACTTTGATGCTCCTTGGCTCTCAGCCCCTCTGCCCATCGCTGGGTGTGAGCCCCCTTTGATGTCTTGGTTGCACTTAGAGTGAAACCTCGGAGAGTATATGTAAAGGAATGCATTAACCTTGGTATATTTTCTAACGTTGAATCTTAAAATTTTGCCTATTTCAGGGGAAATCTCACAGTCTTCCCCATGTTCCACTTCCTATATCCACTTTGGCCTCCAAATACGTTATGTATGTATGTGTATATGTGTATCAGGTATTCTGAAGGATGTAATCTAGAAAAGTTTAGATTCTATCCCAAGCAGACTTTAAAATTAAGAGAAGATGGCAGATGTGTTGAATTCTTTGTTACAACACACCATACCTGTAAATTTGTTTGGAAGGCTATTCTCATTACTTGGTAAAAAAAGAACATAGAAGAGGAGATCTTAAGTGAAACCAAGCCTCGCTTTTCATTCCTTGCCTCCATTCTGTCATTGAGTACACATTTAATAAGCATTTATTGTGGGCACATCATCTTGCTTTTGCACTTAGTTTGATTCTTTGAACATACCAAAAAAAAAAGTCATTACCTGTTTTAAAGTGATGCCAAGGACATGTATGTCATCATTAATATTTGGTTGCATTAGAAGTATATTGTAATAAAATTATATGTTTAGGAATCTCAGTAGAGAATGAGCTCTTACAAGTAGAAGTGGGCACATCTTATATTGCTGAGATAGCTGATACTCCCCACCTCCTTTTTCTTAGATACCAACAGCTTGGAATCTTGCCTACAGACGGAACTTCATTTATGTTCTGAACAGTCCCATAAAGAAGAGAAGACCCCTGTGCCACCCATCAGTTCTGTTTTCTTGGCATTTTCTATTCTTGGGGAGCTACACACAAAGCTTAAATCATTTGGTAAGGCATACTACTTGTTTCATTTACACAAAGTCTCAGAAGGCCCATTGTTAAAGGGATGACAAAACAGATTCTATTCTCTGGAGAGTAACACTGATACATCATAGGGTTGGGTCTCATGATTCATCAAGTGAAATTGTCATAAATATTGCCCTTTTTAGGGCTTGGATCCTTTCTTGTCTTCCTTTCCTTACTAGTTGCTGCTATTTATTTTATTTCTTTTTTGAATTATTTAAATAAAAATCTGTAAACAATCTGGGAAGCTTCGTTGGGAAAACCTGAAGTGCTTAGTGGTTGGTTTGTAATGTCATGGTATGTGTATTTTTGTTGTTAGGCCCTAAGATCCAATTTTTTTTTTACATGCTTATTTTTTAGAAGTTTCTTCTCGTGATTTTTGATGAGTGTTCATATTATTTTTCAGGTAAGATGCTGCTGAAGTATATCCTTAGGCCTCTGGCATCTTGTCCATCCCTTTATGCTGTGATAGAAAGCCAGCCGAACATAGTTATCTTTCGTTTTGAATCTGTGATGACTGACTTGGAACATCCGTCACCATCTGAAGTTTTTGCAAAGATCAGACTGGTTCTGGAAGTGCTCCAGAAACACCTGCTAGGTATGTGTCCCCAAGGCAGTGTTTTTATATTTTGGAAGAGTAAATATTGTTTTTAAAAGTAAATATTAAAGAAGATAAAAATGCCCATGATTTGAGTGAATGGGGATTTTGTTGTTATGTGCTGTTGAGTCGATTCCAACTCAGGGTGAGTAAATTTATGCCGTGGGAGAAAAATTGTTACCTCCTGATTTCTTGCTCTACTTTGCTTTTCTTCTCTGCTCCATATTGACAAGTAAGATCATCAGTGGTGCTCTGGATTCTTTACTTGTGATATTATTTTAGTTGAATTCTAGGATGCACTTATCTCACTGGACTTTTAGTAATACCATATTTTGAGACTCTTTAATTATTGGAGAATCAGAAATAAACCAAGTGTGGTTTTACATATTCATTGGGACAATACCCGTTTACCTGATATAAACAAACTAGGTTTAATATAGGAAATAAATTATATTCAACTCAGCCTACTAGTTAGATATTTATATATTCATACTTGAAATGGCCAGTTTCTGTCTATGTTGCTTGAATCATTTTGTTTTGGTTGTCATACATTTCTTCTAATGTTTCATTTTAATACCGTTGTTTATTTTAGTCTACCTGAGTTACCTTTTTTTTGCTTTTCTCAGTTGTCTGCTTGAATAGTTAGACTAAGCATTGTTGCTGTGGAGAAGATAAAAAAGAAATGCTGCTGTTGTTTGTATGTATTTCTGGCAGGCATATGCTGTTTATTTATATATAAATAATTTATATGTAAATGCAAGGAATTCTTTCTAGTTTTGACAGGAGCAGAGAAGAAAAAATCTTAAGACTTACATAAAGTGTAGAAATTCAAGATAGTTTTTCTAGTTTCCAGATGCTTCACTTAGGAAGAAATGCATTTTTATTTTGATGAGTAGAAACAAAGTTGTGAACACAATGTCCAAGGATTAGAAGGAATCAAAGAGATAACTCAGTCCAAACATCTCTCTAATACTCGAATCTTCTCTGTAATGTTCCTGTCAATTGGTCATATAGCCAACCTGAGCACCTTTAGTGAGAGGGAACTTGTTCATTTTTGAGGCATTCCATCCTATCTCTTGGCAACTCCGAACAGTAGGAAGGTTTTTTTTGTTGTTGTTTACTTTTAAAAAATTGTATCCCCTATCTGTACTGAATTACCAAAATGTCCATTTTGCAAGTTAGGGCAGTTTTAAAAGTATCTTCAAAATATATTACCCTGTGATCGCCACTTATTGATGTTAGTTCTACTTTGTGGAGCCATGTAGAACAATTGTAATTCCTGTTACACACGATGGACTTTCAGATTCTTTGTAGTAGCTTATTATTTCTCCTAAATTTTATCATCAATAGCCTTATACGTCCTTAGGGTTTTTTTTTTTTGGTATGGCATAATTTTGAGTTCCCTTTATCTTCATTGCTCTCTTTCATTGCTCTCTTGTGAATATATTCCATTTTTTCTATATTTTTCTTACAGTATGTTGTATTCTGCTGTATTTTAGGTATAGTCTGAACCAATTCAGAATAGTATGGGAGCATTCGTGCCCTCATTCTAAGTTCTGTGCTTCTATTAGTATAGTTTACAGTTAACTCATTTAGCTTAACGTACATGAAAATCCTGTGTCATACTCAGTGCAAACTGCTGCTCTCCAAAGTTATACTTAATTTTTTTGGAACTGAAATTAATCTTTATTAAATATACTATCCTTTCTACTTCATATTGCATGCATAATTAGTAACCACGTCTTAATATTTTAGTGTAAGTCAGTGATGATACTGTTACCTAGGATAAGGTCAAAGTCAGAAGGTGTTCTGGGACATTCCAGTTGAAACATCTTTCCAGTTTCACATTGGTCTGTTGATCAGTACTCAACTTATTATTTTATTTGTAGTTTTCTTAGTACCTAGGATATAATACATTCAAAGCAGAAAACAGCTCAGTTAGTGTAGCTGGGTACTTTTCTAATCTCTTTCATCCTTTTTAAAGGATGAAAAAAACTTATTTTCGTTAAAATCAGTTATACATCAGGAATACCCACTATCACTGTTATTCTTTGACATTGCTTTTTGGGGTTATGACTGATGCAATAAAAAGAGAAAAATAAAATAAATACGGATATTAAAGGGAAGAAATGCTCTTCCTTTGCAGTGATATAATTGTGTACCTAGAAAACCAAAAGACTCTTCTAAAATTTTTATAATTAATAAGATAATTTACTAAGTTGTCTAGATACAATATAAATATACAAAAATTGATAACTTCACCCTAAACTAGCAATAATCAATTATAAATTAAAATATAAAAATATTTTTAATGGCAACTGAATCTATAAAATACTCAAAACTAAATGTAACAACTTTCACCAAAAGCACAATAAAATATTTAAAGAAAGAAAACAAACGAAATGTAGTAAGAAAGGAGAGGGCATATGTGAAGAAAACAATAAAACATATTGAGGGCATAAAGTAAGGCCTGAATAAAAGGGAGGCTGTCCTGGATTAGAATTCAGTTTCATAAAATTGTCAGGTCATTCCAAAATAATAGTTAATATATTTCCAGTCACATTCCCAATATATGTATTTTTTAAACTGGACAAAATTTAGCTCACATAAAATTTATGAGGATTGATAAGAAAGATTTGAAAACACTAGTGGGGGGATTTTATAATTAAAACTGTATGCTCTTGGCACAAGAAGATCAGTGGAATAAAAGAGTCCAGAAGTAGAGCCAAGTATAAATGAGAACTTATTGTTTGATAACAGTCACATTTCAGTGTAGTTTATTTAATAATGGTACTAGCAAAATTGGCTGTCTCTATGGAATAAAACAAAGTTAGATTCCTGCTTCATACTTCATACACAGACAAATTCCGGATGAATTAAAGCCCCCTAAATATAAAAAAAGCAACAAAATAAAAATATTAGAAGAAAATTTTGGAGATGATTTGAATAGTCTCAGGAAGCTCAGAATTCCTAAAGGAAAAGACTGACAAATTTGACTGCATGTAAATGTTAAGTTTTATATGGTAAACAATACCATAAACAAAGTCAAAAGACATGTAGTGTACTGGGAGGAAATAATTGCAGTAAAGTGAAAGACAAGAGTTAATGTAATAATATTTCTTTCAAAGAAAAAGAGAACATAATAGGAAGATGGGTAAAGAATATCACCATGCAATTCATGGAAGAATAAGTGCAAATTGTTAATAAACATATAAAAATATGTGTTGCTTTACTAGGGAAGTGGAAATTACACCATCAAGATAGAACTTTTGACCGTTAGGATTGTCAAAATTAAAAGATCTATCATTTTTGGTGAGAAAGTAGAAAGGTAGCCTTCTACATTGCTTTGGTGAGCCTTTTGTTAGAAAGTAATCTGAAGATATGTAATAAAATCTAAAATGTGCATCCTTTTTACCCAGTTATCCTATTGAATGCTTTACAGAAGTAATGTCAACAGTATATATGTATGTATGGGTGAATAGTTTATGTACATACACACTGGACACAACCTGAAATATGCATCATTTGAGGAATGTTTGTGTAACTTAACAGTTCAGTTATATTATGGAATATTCTGTAGATATTAAAAAGAAATGAAATAGAGCTAGATGTATTGACACAAGGGATGGTCATGACCTATTTTTAAGTGATAAAAAAGTTAAGAGGAAGATCTATGACATGAGCCCATTTTTAGAAAAATGAAAGAAAGAAGCCCCTTATATGAATATGTATGTGTATATGTTATATGAATGTAAGAGAGGAAGAATCTAAACCAAACACTTAACGTTGGTCTCTTGAGCAAAGGGAGAGATGAGTTAGAGGCGAAAACTGGCTTTTTCTTTATAAACTTTAGTGGGTTTTGGGTTTGTCACAGCAAGCTTGTTTTGCTTCTGCCATGGATGATTTCCTAGAAAGTATAAATTACTAAAACTTCCTGTGAAGCAGAAATTCTGAACATAGATAATTGAGGAGTAAAGTTGAAAGGATGTTTGAAGATTTACCACTAAAACGGGTACCACTGAACATAGAAGGTTTACGGCTAAATTCTACTTTTCAAATTATAGATAGTTCTGTTTTGTTAATCAAGCTCTTTTAGTCTAGAAAAAGATCCTAACTAATTTTCTAAAAACTAGCATCACCTTAATACTAAAGCACAGTAATGATAGCATACATATGCAGAAAACACTAAAGAACAATTTTACCTATGGCTTATAAAATGCAAACATTTTAAACAGAATAGTAGTAACTTAAATATAACAATATCTTTAAGAAGACACATTATGACCTAGGGTTTATTCTAGGAGTGGAAAGATGGCTCAACAAAAGAAAACTATCAGACAGTTCATCATGTCAGCATATTAAAGCGGGAAACTAGTTCCATCATTACCTGTTGCCA